TGTATAGATTTTGCACCTATCTTTAGTATTTTGTTTGATGGTATTATAAATGGACTTGTTGAATTTGTTTTCAGTTGTTCATTGCTAGCATATAGAGACAAGTATTTTTTTTTTTTTTTTTTTTTTTTTGAGACGGAGTTTCGCTCGTTACCCAGGCTGGAGTGCAATGGCGCGAACTCGGCTCACCGCATCCTCCACCTCCTGGGTTCAGGCAATTCCTGCCTCAACCTCCTGAGTAGCTGGGATTACAGGCACGCGCCACCATACCCAGCTAATGTTTTTTGTATTTTTAGTAGAGACGGGGTTTCACCATTGTTAACCAGGATGGTCTCGAACTCTTGACCTCGTGATCCACCCGCCTCAGCCTCCCAAAGTGCTGGAATTACAGGCTTGAGCCACCGTGCCCGGCCAGAGACAAGTATTTTGAAGTAAAATTTACAAATATGCACACATTTTAAGTGTACAATTTACTATGCATTAACGAATGTAGACAGCCAAGTCATTGCCACCATGATCAAGATGTAGAATATTTCCATCACTAAAAGTTTCCTTGTGCCCTTTCCTGGTTATCCAAAACTACATCTTCAGCCCCAGGCACCACTTACCTGCTTTTTACCACTGGAGACTTTATGTCTTGTAGAGTTTCATATAAACAGGATCATACAGTAATGTCTTATTTAGTGTCTGGTTCCTTTCACTTAGCAGTTTTTGCAATTCAGCCATGTTGCTGTTTGTATTAGTCATTCCATCTTTTTGTTGCTGTGTAGGTTTCCAATGTACAGATGTATCATAGTTTTTTGTGCATTCACCTATTGATGGAAATTTGGGTTGTTGACCATTTTGGGCTATTATGAATAAAACTGCTATGAATATTTGTGTACAAGTCTTTGTGTGAACACGTCTTCCTTTCTCTTGGGTAAATAGGATTGGATATATGGGAGCATGTATTTAACATTACAGGAAACTGCCAGTTTTCTGAAGCAGTTGTACCTTTTTGCATTAGCAATGTAAAGGATTCAAATGGCTCCACAGATGCACCATTTGGTATTGTCAATCTTTTCATTGCTAGCCTTTTTTAGTGGGTGTGCTGTACTATTTCAGTGGAGTTCAAACGTAGCTTGTGTTTTTGAGTTTCACTCTTCTTGCCCAGGCTGAAGTGCAATGGCACGATCTCGGCTCACTGCAACCTCTACCTCCTGGGTTCAAGGGATTCTCCTGCCTCCTGAGTAGCTGGGATTACAGGTGCCCACCACCATGCCAGCTAATTTTTTGTATTTTTACTAGAGGCAGGGTTTCACAATGTTGGCCAGGCTGGTCTTGAACTCCTTACCTCAGGTGATCCAACCGCCTCAGCTTCCCAAACTGCTGGGATTATAGGTGTGAGCCACTGTGCCTGGCACAAATGTAGTTTTACATGTTTTTTTGTTTTTGTTTCTGTTTTTGAGACAGTTTTACTCTGTTGCCCAGGCTGGAGTGCAGTGGCATGATCTTGGCTTACTGCAACCTTTGCCACCAGGGTTCAAACAATTCTTTTGCCACAGCTTCCCGAGTAGCTGGGACTACAGGTGTGCACCACCGCGCCTGGCTAATTTTTGTATTTTTTAGTAGACAGGATTTCACCATATTGGACAGGCTGGTCTCAAACTCCTGACCTCAAGTGATCCACACACCTTGTCTTCCCAAAGTGCTGGGATTACAGGCGTGAGCCACCATGCTCAGTTGATGTTGAGCATGTTTTTATGTGCTTATTGTCCATAAATATATCTTTCTTTGTGAATTATTTATTTAAATCTTTATTCCTTTTTTTTTTTTTTTAAATAGAGATGGTTTCACCATGTTGGCCAGGCTGGTCTCGAACTCCTGACCTCAGGTAACCCACCTGCCTCGGCCTCCCTAAGTTCTGAGATTACAGGCGTGAGCCACCACGCCCAGCCCACTCCGTGTTTTAAAATTTTTGTGAATTACTTTATTTCTTCCATGATGATTTAGAGAGACTTTTCAAGCCAGTACAAATATGTCGTAACTAGTATGTGTCCGTTTTCTAACAAATTGAGTAATTTGTTTCACAATAAGCCACCTCACATCTTTCAGCAAGAAATACATTCAATTTGAATAGTAAAGACATTACACACTGAATTAGAATACAACTAAAATTTGCTTTAAATATTTCTTTGGGGTAGAGGACAGCACCCTCTACTCAATAAAGAGAAACATTTTAACAGTCCAAAGGTATTTTATTTTATTTTTTTAAAGCACCTGTTATACTGTTAATTCGTAGGGAAGAGGTTCCAGCACCTCAGGCTCCTTCCTGTTGGTTCTCACAAAGTGTGCTTCCCTGGGTGGAGAAGGCTGCTGCTTGAGCTGAACCCAGGTGCCTTTCTCTTTGGCTTCTTTTTCTGATGATTTTCCTTCACGTGTTTCAGGAAGCTATCTCTGCTCTAAGAGTGCTTAATGTGCTCAATATGCACATTAATTCTTTGGCAAGAATCTTGTCCTTAACTTATTTGTTTACAACAGTGCCAACAGCATGGTGGGGAACATTGTAGACTCTTCCAGTTTTGCCATGGTAACACTTGGGCATTCCTCTTAGAACAGTACCCATTCCCTTGATGTCTACATCACCTTATAGATTTGCATATAGGTGGCCAAAGGAACAACTCCATATTTTCTAAAAGGTCTAGAGAACATATGTCCAATGCCTCTCCTCTTTCCCTTTGGGTTTGTCATTTTGGTGAATTACTGGAAAGATGGCGGTTCTGGCTGAAAGCTTTGCTCCATTTTTAACAGTGTTTTAAAATTTTGAAGAAGTGGGCTGGGTGCAGTGCCTCCTGCCTGTAATCCCAGCACTACTGGAGACCAAAGTGGGTCGATCACTTGAGGTCAGGAGTTCGAGACCAGCCTGACCAACGTGGTAAAACCCTCTCTACTAAAATACAAAAATGAGCTACAGCGGTGGCAGTGCCTGTAATCCCAGCTACTCGGGAGGCTGAGGCAGGAGAATCGCTTGAACCCAGGAGGCAGAGGTTGCAATAAGCCAAGATTGTGCCACTGCGCTCCAGCCTAGGTGACAGAGTGAGACTCTGTCTCAAAACGAAAATGAACAGACAAAAAATTTCAGTGAAGTTAGACCGTATGCAGTGGCTCACAACGGTAATCCCAGCACTTTGGGAGGCCGAGGTGAGAGGATTGCTTGAGCTCAGAAGTTTGAGACCAGCCTAGGGAACATAGTAAGACCCCCCCAACTCTATTAAAGTGCTTTTTAAATGAAGTTCAGTTTATCCATTTTTTTTCTTTTGAGGTCCATGGAATTTTTTGTTTGGGGGGGGGATCCTAGCTAGGAAATCTTCACCTACCTCAAGATGACATAGTTTTTTTTCTCCTATGTTTCCTTGTAGAACTTTTAAAGTTTTAGTTTTTATACGTTATTTTTTTTAAGACAGAGTCTCCCTATGTTGCCCAGACTAGTCTTGAACTCCTGGCCTTAAGTGATCCACCTCAGCCCCCTGAAGTGCTGGGATTATAGGTATGAACCATTGCACCTGGCCTTAAATTTAGATAAAATCCATTTCAGGCCAGGTGGAGTGGCTCAAATCTGTAATCCCAGCACTTAGGGAAGCTGATGCGGGTGGCTCACCTGAGGTCATGAGTTCGAGACCATCCTATCCAACACGGTGAAACCCCATGTCTACTAAAAACACAAAAATTAGCCAGGTGTGGTGGGGCACGCCTGTAATCCCAGCTACTCGGGAGGCTAAGGCAGGAGAATCGCTTAAATCCAGGAGGCAGAGGCTGCAGTCAACCAAGATCTCACCACTGTACTTCACTGGGTGACAAACAGACTCCATCTCAAAAAAAGAAAAAAAAATCCATTTCTAGTTAACTTACATATGGCATAAGTTACAGATCTATATGTGTATTAGTCCATTCTCACATTACTGTAAAATAACAGACTGAGTCGTTTATAAAGAAAAGAGGTTTAATTGGCTCACAGTTCTGCAGGCTGTATGAGAAGCATAGAGGCTTCTGCTTCTGAGGAGGCCTCAGAAAATTTACAATCATGGTGGAAGGCGAAGGCGAAGCAGGCACATACCACATGGCCAGAGCAAGAGCAAGACGGCAAGGTAGGGAGGTGCCACACACTTTTAAACAACCAGTATCACGAGAATAGCACCAAGAGAATGCCACACCATTTATGAAGGATCCACTCCCATGATCTAGTCACCTCCCACCAGGCCCACCTCCAACACTGGTGATTACAGTTTGACATGAGATTTGGTGGGGACAGATCTAAACCATATTAATACGGATAACCAGTTTTTCCAGTATTATTTGTTGAAAATACTTATTTTCCTGGCTGGGCATGGTGGCTCACGCCTGTAATCCCAGCACTCTGGGAGGTGAAATCAGGTGGATCACTGGAGGTTAGAAGTTTGAAACCAGCCTGGTCAACGTTGTGAAATCTTATCTGTACTAAAAATACAAAAATTATAGCTGGGCATGGTGGCACGCGCCTGTAATCCCAGCTACCCGGGAGGCAGAGTCAGAAGAATCACTCAAACCCAGGAGGCGAAGGATGCGGTGAGCCAAGATCGCACCACTGTGCACTAGCCTGGGTGACAGAGCGAGACTCTGTCTCAAAAAAAAAAAAAAAAGAAATTTTCCCCATGGATTACTCTGACCCCCTTGTAAAAAAAAAAAAAAAAAAGTAAAAGTTTACCCAATATGTGTGAATCTACTTCTGGATTCTATGTTCTGTTGATCTATAGGTCTATACGTTCTTTTTGTTTGTTTTGTTTTGAGATGGAGTCTTGCTTTGTCCCCCAGGCTGGAGTACAGTGGCCCAATTTCGGCTCCCTGCAACCTCCACCTCCCAGATTCAAGTGATTCTTCTGCCTCAGTTTCCTGAGTAGCTGGGATTACAGGCATGCGCCACCATGCCCAGCTACTTTTTTTGTTTTTAGTAGAAACAGTGTTTCACCATGTTGGCCAGGCTGGTCTCCAACTCCCGACCTCGTGATCTGCCTGCCTAGGCCTCCCAAAGTGCTGGGATTACAGGCATGAGCCACCACACCCAGCCTGTAATTCTATACTTTCACCAATATCACAATATCATACTACAGTTTTACAGTGTCTTGAAGTCAGGTTATGTAATTCCTCCAATGTTGATACTTACGTTTTTCGAAATTGTTCTGGGCCAAGCAAGGTAGCTCAGATCTGAAATCTCAAATTTCAGCATTTTGGTGGGGAGAGGTTGGAGGATCACTTGAACCTAGGAGTTAGAAGACCAACCTGAGTAACACAGTGAGATCTCATCTCTACAAAAATAAGAAAATTAACCTGGGCTAGTGGTGCAGGCCCACAGTCCCAGCTACTCAGGAGGCTGAGGCAGAAGGGTCCCTTGAGCATAGGAGTTGGAGGCTGCAGTAAGCCATGACTGTACCACTGCACTCCAGCTTGGGCAACTGAGAAAGACCTTGTCTCTAAATAAATAAATAGCTTTGGCTAATAATTTCTTTGCATTTGCATATAAGTTTTTAAATCGCCGTATCAATTTCTATGAATAGGCCTGCTGAAATTTTAAGAGATTGTGTTGGATACATAGATGGAAGAACTGACATGTTAACAAAGACTACTGAGGCCAGGTGCAGTAGCTGACGCCTGTAATTCCAGCTACTCGGGAGGCTGAGGCAGGGAGAATTGCTTAAACATAGGAGGCAGAGGTTGCACTCCAGCCTGTATGACAGAGTGAGACTCCATCTCAAAAAAATAAAACAGGCCGGGCGCGGTGGCTCACGCCTGTAATCCCAGCACTTTGGGAGGCCGAGGCGGGTGGATCACGAGGTCAAGAGATCGAGACCATCCTGGTCAACATGGTGAAATCCGGTCTCTACTAAAAATACAAAAATTAGCTGGGCATGGTGGCGCGTGCCTGTAATCTCAGCTACTCAGGAGGCTGAGGCAGGAGAATTGCCTGAACCCAGGAGGCGGAGGTTGCGGTGAGCCGAGATCGCGCCATTGCACTCCAGCCTGGGTAACATGAGTGAAACTCCGTCTCAAAAAAAAATAAATAAATAAAATAAAAAAAAATAATAAAACAAACAAACAAAAAAGAGTACTGATTCTGCCAATCCATAGTTAGTGCCTCTCTTCATTCATTAGACCTTCATTCAAATCTCTCAGCAGTGTGTTATAATTTCATTGTATAGGTCTTACACATTTTTTTTGAATTCTCACTGCATCCCTGAGTGGAAGGAATTGTTTTTATTTTGCAAGATATATACATTAAAAGCAATAATAACTACCAAGTGTACTTTTACCATCTTTTCCTAAAAGGGCATTTTAATGCCAAAAACACAGATGGCATGAGCTCAGTGTAGTAACAGTGGCTGAAATCTACCTATATGGCACCCATGTGCCGGCTCCTGTTCTGAGGAGTCACGAAAACTGGAAAGGGAGTAACCCAGAGGCCAACCAATTCCATGTTCGTTCTCTTCTACCTCCAGTTCACCTAGCCTTTATGGCAGACAGAATAATGGCCGAGAAGATGTACATGGCCGGATCTCTAGAACCTGCCACATGCTGTCTCACAGGGCAACAGCAACTCTGGACAGGAGGGAATTAAGCATTGACACGGGGAAACTGATCCTGAATTATCCTGATGGGCCCAATGTCAACACAGTCATCCTAACAAGTGAGGGTCAAGGTCAGAGGATTGATAGGGAGACAGAAGCAGAGGTTGGAGCCCAGCACTCTAAGAACAGGTACATGAGCTGAGGAATGCGAGCAACCTCTAGAAGCTGGAAAAGGCATGAAACAGATTCTCCCCTAGAGCCTCCGGAAGGAACATGTCTCTGCAGACACCTTGATTTTGGGCCATGAGACCCATTTTGGACTTCTGACCTCCAGAACTGTAACAGACTTGTGTTATTTGTAAGCCGCCGGGTTTGTGGGGATTTATTATAACCCATTTTGGGGAACAATGACCCGGAAGGAGGGTGAGGACAGAGAAGCCAGAGTCAGCACAGAGGTACCAGGAAGTGGGAGCAGAGGAGGGGCGAGCTGTATCCCAGACAGTAAGAGAGCTGAGTGATTGGAGGCTGGTCAGGCTGAATGAGAAGGGAGATGGACGAGGCCACTGGGTTGGGTGGCGCAGAGGCAACTGGCAGCCTTGACAGGAGCTGCTCCCTCTGGAAGAAAGGAAAGACGCCCGGCTGCAGTGGACTGAAGGCTTTTGCTCACTTTGCCTCACCTAGATGCCACACTGCTCCTGCTACATCCCAGCACCCAGCAGGCGCAAGGTACGCAGTTATGATGAACACCTGACTACTCTGACTCTTCACCCACCCACTACTCGCCGCTAACACGCCCTCACTCACGGGCCCTTCTGCTGCTCGAGGCGCCTCAGGGCCTTTGCACTGGCTGCTTCCATGGCCTGGACCACTGTTCTTAGAGGTCTCTGCGTGGGTGCCCCGCTGCTCATCACCCAGGGCCCACACAGCAGCCACGGGCCACTTGAGAGTGCCACGTATTGAAAAGGAAGTATTTTGAAGACATCAGAGTCAATGAAGGTTATCAAAACTAAATTTACCCTTTTCCTTTGACCGTTTTTATTTATTTATTTATTTTTGAGACGGAGTCTCACTCTGTCGCCCAGGATGGAGTGCAGTGGCGTGATCTCGGCTGACTGCAACCTCTGCCTCCCGAGTTCAAGCAATTCTCTTGCCTCAGTCTCCCAAATAGCTGCGACTACAGGCACACATCGCCACGCCCGGCTAATATTTTGTATTTTTTTAGTAGAGACGAGGTTTCACCGTGTTGCCCGGGCTGGTCGCGAACTCCTGAGCGCAGACAATCCGCCCGCCTCGGCCTCCCAAAGTGCTGGGACTACAGGGGTGAGCCACCATGCCCGGCCTTCTTTTCATCTTTTTCAACGTGGCGACTAGCACAGGTAAGATGGCTTCTGTGGCTCACATCACACGTCCCCCTGGACAGCGTACTGTAAGCCAGGCTGCAAGATTCCCCTCCAGGGCCAGACAGTAAATGCTTCCAGCTTCTCAGGCCCTCTGTCGTAGTCAAGGTGGCAAGAGTCAGCCACAGATGACATAAATGAATGGGTGTGTCTGTGCACCAAGACTTCACAAAGAAAGGTGCTGGGCTGGGCTGGGAGGGCCCCAGACAGTGAGTCGGCCCATGCCTGCTGTGTGGTAAAGAATCCAAACATGGTGCCGGGCGCAGTAGAAACCCCATTTCTACTAAAAATACAAAAAAAAAAAAAAAAAAAAAAATAGCCGGGCGTGGTGGTGGCCGCCTGTAATCCCAGCTACTCAGGAGCCTGAAGCAGGAGAATTGCTTGAACCCGGGAGGCGGAGGTTGCATTCGGCCAAGGTGGCGCCACTACACTCCAGCCTGGGCGACAAGAGGGAAACTCCATCTCGAAAATGGACAAATAAATAAAAAATAAAGAATAATCCAAACCTCCCCAGAGAGAGGCCTGGCTTTGGCCCTCCGCCCGTGGTAAGTCATCTCTAAGCCCTTGGCCCCTCACGCATGAGGAGGGCCAGCGTGCTTAGGGGCCTCAGCCCAGCTCCACAGCAAGATGGATTTGGAGTGGAGTCTGGCCCAGGTGGTATCCATGACCTTCGGGGGACTGGAGGCTGAGGTCAGCCACACAGAACGCGGAGGAGTCCCCAGTAAGAACCCAGACACCAAGGTCTGAGGAGGGTCCCTGGCTGGCAAGACTCCCTGCATGCCTGCCGGGAGGAGTGAGGGGAGAGGACAGCTGACACCGCTCTCCTGGCCCTTTTCCCAGCTGGTTCCAGCGCGTCCTTCTCTGTGATAAGCCGTGACCGTGAACATGGCTGTGAGTCCTGGAGAACTCGCAAGTATGCCAGGGTCCTGGTCCCCTCCTGACTCGTAGCTGGTGTTGGGATGGAGGGCGCCCCACGTGGACTGTCCCTCCCGCTGCGCCGTGGCCTCCCCACCGTGGTCACACTGGTTTTCGGGGGTTAAGCGGAACTCTTCCCTCGGCTTCCTCGTGGCTTCCCCGCTCCCCTCCCGCCTCGCAGCCCCGCCAGGCTCACCTAGAGCTCCTCCAGCAGGGCCACCGCCTCCTTCCCGCGCTGCGGCTGCCGGCTGCACACCCAGGCCTGCGTGTCAGCGGGAAGCGCGCTCAGGAACTGCTCCAGCACCCGCAGCTCCAGCTTCTGCTCCTCCGCGCACACCTCGAGCCGCAGCCAGTCCCGGCACAGGGCGCAGAGCAGCCCCGGCGTGTAGTGCGGCCGCGGTGCGTCGCCCAGGCGGAAGCGCCGGAAGCGCCGGAAGCGGTCTCCCTGGCGGCCAGGCGCCAGGCCCTCGGCCTCCTGCTTCACGGGCATCGTCACCTCCATTGGGCCTCCCGGATGGCGGGCCTGCCCCGCATGGCCGAGGGAGCGAAGAGGTCTCAGTGAGGGGCGGCACTCACTCGGGCGGTGAGAAAAGAGCGTCCCCCTCCTGGGGTCCCACGGAGTCAAGTCCCGGCTCTGCCCGTCCCTGGGCGCCCCCGCCCCCGCAGCCTCTGTACCTCTGTCTCGCAGCTCCTCCCGCAGCTGCCCTACAGCACTAAGGCTCTGGAGCAAATTCCAGCTCTGCCTCCCACCAGCTCTGTGTCCTTGGACAAGGGACAAGGCACCTTTTGTAATACACTGTATCTCCATTTTCTCAGCTCACTCTCTCAGGCGAGGCCCCCCCAAGCCCCCCGTACCTCCCGCACATGCGCACAAAGCTCACCGGGACTCCTTACACGTTTGATTAGTCGTTGCCGGTACATGGAAACACAACTAAATTTTGTGTATGGATCCTTTTATCTAGTGACTTTGCATACTTATTAATTGTAGTAGCTTTACTTTAGATGACTTAGGGTTTTCCATGTATACAATCATGTCTTCTGGGAATAAAGGCAGCATTAGATTTTCCTTACCAGTTTAAATGCCCTTTCTCCCCCTTGCCTTACTGCATTGGCTAGTTTCTACAATAGGGTGTCGAAAACAAGTGGCAAGGGCAGGCTGGGTGCGGTGACTCACGCCTGTAATTCAAGCACTTTGGGAGGCCGAGGCAGGCGGATTACCAGAGGTCAGGAGTTCGAGACCAGCCTAGCCAACATATCGAAACTCCTACTTAAAATTTGCTGGGCGTGGTGGCACATACCTGTAATCCCAGCTACTTGGGGGGCTGAGGCAGGAGAATCTCTTGAATCAGGGAGGTGGAGATTGTAGTGAGCTGAGATTGAGCCGTTGTACTCCAGCTTGGGCAACAAGAGTGAAACTCCAACTCAAAAAAGAAGAAGAAGAAGTGGGGAGGTCAGACATTCTTGCATAGTTGGCAGTTTTAGGGAGAAACCATTCGGGCCTTCACCATCATCATTAGGTGTGGTGTCAACCTTGAGTTTGTCACATATCTTTTATGAGGCTGAAGAAATTCCCTTCTATTGCTAATATCTCAGAGTTTTTATTACAAATGCATATTAAATTCTGTCAAATGCTTTCTCTGTATCTGTTGAGATTATATGATGATGTTAACAGGGGTTTTCCTCTTTGTTCTGTTAATACGGTGAATTACATTGATATTAAAATATTAAACCCATCTTACAAGCCAGGGAAAATTGACACTTCGTTATAGTTATGTATATATATCTTACTGGATTTGATTTGCTAAAATTAAAAACATTTTTTTCTTTAATAGAGATGGGGTGTCACCATGTTGGCCAGGCTGGTCTCGAACTCCTGACCTCAGGCGATCCACCCATCTCAGCCTCCCAAAGTGCTGGGATTACAGGCGTGAGCCACCATGCCTGGCCAAAAACTTTTTTTTCAAAACCATTTTATTGGCCTGGTGCAGTGGTGCATGTCTGTAATCACAGCATTTTGGGAGGCTCAGGTGGGCTCATCACTAGAGCCTAGGAGTCCGAGACCAACATGGGCAACATGACGAAACTCTGTCTCTACTAAAAATACAAAAATTAGGGCCGGGCGCGGTGGCTCAAGCCTGTAATCCCAGCACTTTGGGAGGCCGAGGCGGGTGGATCACGAGGTCAAGAGATCGAGACCATCCTGGTCAACATGGTGAAACCCTGTCTCTACTAAAAATACAAAAAAAAATTAGCTGGGCATGGTGGTGCGTGCCTGTAATCCCAGCTACTCAGGAGGCTGAGGCAGGAGAATTGCCTGAACCCAGGAGGCGGAGGTTGCGGTGAGCCGAGATCACGCCATTGCACTCCAGCCTGGGTAACAAGAGCGAAACTCCGTCTCAGAAAAAAAAAAAATACAAAAATTAGGTGGTGCACGTTTGTAGTCCTAGCTACTCAGGAGGCTGAGGTGAAAGTCACTTGAGCCCAGGAAGTCGAAGCTGCAGTGAGTCAAGATCACACCACTGTACTCCAGCTTGGGAGGCAGAGCAAGACTATCTCAAAACAAAACAACAACAACAACAAAAACAGCTGGTGTGGTGGCTCATGTCTGTTATGTCAACACTTTGGGAGGCCAAGGCGGTGGATCATCTGAGGTCAGGAGTTCAAAACCAGCCTGGCCAACATTGAGAAATGAGGTTTCTCAACGTTGCTGAGCTTTATCTTAATCTGGGCTCAAGTGATCCTCCTGCCTTGGTCTCCCAAAATGCTGAGATTACAGGTATAAGCCACTGTGCCACACTTACATGGTGAAACCTCATCTGATACAAAATTAGCCGGGTGTGGTGGCGTACCAATGTAGTCCCAGGTACTTGGGAGGCTGAGACAGGAGAATCGCTTGAACCCAGGAGTTGGAGGCTGCAGTGAGCTGACATCGCGCCTCTACACTCAAGCCTGGGCAGGACAGAGCAAGACTCCATCTCAAAAACAAAACAAAACAAAACAAAACAAAAACCAAATCATTTTATTAAGCCATACAATTCAATTTACCCACTGAAAGTGTACAATTATTTTAGTATATTCTAAAATATACTAAATATTTTAGTGTATATACTAAGTATATACACGTAATTATCACCACAGTGAATTTTAGAACATTTTCATCACCTCATAAACTTGATCTCAAAAAAAAGAGCTATACTCTTTAGCTGTCACTGTTTACTCTCTCCCCCTGTCGTCATAAGCAGCCACTAAACTACTTTCCCTATCTTCAGAATTTACTGTTGTAGATATTTTATTAAATAATATAAAATGTTATCTTTTGTGACTGGCTTTTTTTCCTTAGCGTGATGTTTTCAGGGGTCGTCTGTGTTGTGGTATATGGCAGTACTTCATTTCCTTCTAAATTTGAATAATGTTCCATTGCATGATCTACCACATGGTCTTCATCCATTTATCAGGTCGTGGGCATTTAGGCTTTCACCTTTTAGCTATTGTGAATAATGCCATTATGAACGTTCCAGTACAAGTTTTTGTGTGTACATGTGTTTTTATTACCTTGGGGTAATAATATCTGGGAGTGAATTGCTGGGTCATATGGTAATGCTATATTTACTAAAATTAAAAACTTTTTTCAAAACCATTTTATTGGCCTGGCACAGTGGTGCATGTCTGTAATCACAGCACTTTGGGAGGCTGAGGTGGCCTCATCACTGAAGCCTAGCAGTTCAAGAACAACATGGGCAACATAACAAAACTCTGTCTCCACTAAAAATACAAAAATTAGGTGGTGCATGCCTGTAGTCCCAGCTACTCAAAAGGCTGAGGTGGAAGTCACTTGAGCCTTCCATATTTACTCATTGAGGGAACTGCAGGACTGTTTTCCAAAGTGACTGCACCAATTTATATTCCCATCAGTCATATATGAGGGTCTGATTTTTGTTTTCTCACCAACACTTACCTGACTTTTTTGTTTGTTTCCTTGTTTGAGCCAAGGTGTTACTCTGTTGCCCAGGCTGGAGTGCAGTGACATGATCATGGCTCACTGCAGCCTCAAACTTTCTAGGTTCAGGTGATCCTCCCACCACAGCCTCCTGGTAGCTGGAATTACAGGCATGTGCCACCACACCCAGCTGACTTTTGTATTTCTTTTTTTTTGGAAATATTTTGTCCCAAACTCAATTCCAGGAGTTTTATATTTCTTGATGAAATAGGGTTTCTCAATGTTGCTGAGGCTAATCTCAATCTGGGCTCGAGTGATCCTCCTGCCTTGCCTCCTAAAGTGCTGAGATTACAGGTGTGAGCCACTGTGCTCCAGTTATCTGACTTTTTGATTCTGGTTCTTTAGTGGGTGTGGAGGGGTGCTTCATTGTGATTTTGATTTGCATTTCCCTGATAAGCATTTTTCTTGTGCTTATCCATTTGTGTATTTTCCTTGGATAAATGTCTATTCAGATCAACTTGGCCGATTTTAAAATTAGGTTATTTGCCTTTTTGTTATTAAGTTGTGAGAATTCTTTATATATTCTAGGTACAAGTCCCTTATCAGATGTATGATTTGCAAATACTCCCATTCTGTGGGTTGTTGTTTCACTCTTATGGTATCCTTTGAAGCACAAAAGCTTTTTTTGGTTTGTTTTATTTTTTGAGACAGTCTCGCTCTGTTGCCCAGGCTGAAGTACAATGGTGCAATCTTGGCTCACTGCAACCTCCACCTCCCAGGTTCAAGTGATTCTTGTGCCTCAACCTCCTGAGTAGCTGGGATTAGAAGTGTGTACCACCACATCTGGCTGATTTTTGTATTTTTGGTAGAGATGGAGTTACACCATGTTGGCCAGGCTGGTCTCGAACTCTTGACCTAAAGTAATCCTCTTGCCACAGCCTTCCAAAGTGCTGGGATTACAGGCGTGAGTCACTGCACCTGGCAAAGTTTTAAATTTTAATGAATTTGAATCATTTTTCTTTTTGTTGCTTACACTTTTGGTGTCATTTCTTTTCTTTTTTTTTTTTGAGATGGAGTCTTGCTCTGTTGCCCAGGCTGGAGTGCAGCGGCACGATCTCAGCTCACTGCAACTTCTGCCTCCTGGGTTCAAGCAATCCTCGTGCTTCATCCTCCTGAATAGCTGGGATTACAGGCCCACCACCATGCCTGGCTAATTTTTGTATTTTTAGTAGAGACGAGGTTTCACCACGTTGGTCAGGCTGGTCTTGAACTCTTGACCTTGGAAGATCCACGTGCTTCAGCCTCCCAAAGTGATGAGAACACGGGTGTGAGCTACTGCACTGCCTTGGTGTCATTTCTAAAAATCCATTGCTGAATCATATGTCATGAAGATTTACCAGTTTTTTCCTAAGAGTTTTATAGTTTTAGCTCTTATGTTTAGGTGCATCATTCATTGTGATACTTTTTGTATATAGTTGTTAAGGGTCAAACTTCATACTTTTACTTGTGAACAGTCGGTTCTCCCAGCATCATTGTTACAAAGGATATTCTGTCCCACAATTAATGGTCTTGGAACTCCTGTCAACTATCTGTTAACCTTGGATAAATGATTTTATTTTTGGACTCTCAATTCTATTCCATTGATCTATATATCCATCTTTATGCCAATATTACACTGTCTTTATTGCTGTTGTTTTGTAGTAAGACTTGAAATCAGGAATTGAAATCAGGACCAGAGTCCTTATTCGTTTTTTTGTTGTGGTGATTCCTGAAGTTGTTTGCATCTATTTTTATGAGGAATATTCATCTGTAGTTCTCTTTTCTTGTAATATTTATGAGGTTAATGCTGACCTCATACATGTCATTAAGAAACGTTTCCTTCCTTCTTTGCCTTTTTCTGAATTGGAATAGGATTGGTATTATTTTTTCCTTCCTTTGTACCCAAGGGAAAGGGATAAACGGGGTGGTTGTGGTTGGAGATGCAGGATGGGAAGTCAGGTGGCAAGTTTGGTGGGGAGGGGGAGGTAATGGTGGTGGGGAGTCAGAGTTCTTCTCCCCAGGGAGTTTCGGGGTGGACTGATAGAAGGCAGTTGTCTCCCAGAGAAAGCAATAATATCCATTTAT